CGCTTGTGAATCCTGATGGTGACAATGAGCAATTCGTTGAAAAGATTCTCAGAGCCGAAAAGAGAAAGAAAGGTCGGGGCTTCCGAAGGGAGGTGTTGGTAAAGTGGAGAGGTTTTCAAGAGCCAAACTGGGAATTGCGCCAAGGTCTCGAAGACACGGAGGCTCTTGATATCTTTGAAGAAAGGTACGGTGTTGGTGATGAGGTGGGAGAAGATGTCGGGGCAAGAATAGGTGTTACTGGCAAAAGGCTAAAAATTTTTACATCTGAAAAAAAGAAACGAGTTAAAAAAAAAAAAAAGTACTGTGAGGAGGGGATAATGTTACAGGCTGCGCCTATCTCCTAGTGACTGTCGCACGGACACTTATCATTATTACGTCATTAGCCTTGCTATCTAGAGAGATGTCCAACTTGGCCATACAAATACAGGGTTGCAACAAATATGGAAACAAGATATTGTTGCAGCAAGTCTCATATGGAATCATGGGCCGATACGACCCAGATTCGCTATGACGAGCCCACTCGGAATATCAAGGATATGGTGTAGTAGAATAGATAGTGAGGTTAGCGCATTGGGAGTTGGGACACCTTAAGTAGCATCCCCTCGGTGGACAGTTCCGAGATGTATGTAGAAAATAGACAGTAATCGGCCACCATTCCTTTACTATATTGTTTTGTTGATCGCCCATCACAATAACAGTGATATAGAATGGGGAATTTGATAGTCAAATTAGCCGGACTTACTAATGAGTTATTCTTGGCATTCCAAGATATATCACATTTCAACAGGAATCACTCCATCACAGTCTGCTTACATAAATAGAATCCTTGACAGGTTTTCGATGCAAGATTGCAATACAGTCTCCACGCCTATAGAGTGTAACCAACCACTAAAGACGACGCAAAATGGAGAACCTAGGGCCAATGCTACTCTGTATCTATAAATAGTCGGATCTATAATGTATATATATCTGCTTCTAGATCTGATCTTGCATATATAATCTCTCACCTCTCTCAATTTAACTCAAATCCATCAATCACTCACCTAAGTGCTGCCAAGCGAGTACTAAGATATGTCTAGGGGACAAAAGATGTTGGTTTGTTATACAAATTTGAATCCCCCCTGGTTCTCAATGGATACTGTGACGCATCATACGGAAATTATCTCGATACACGCAGAAGTTTCTCTGGTTATTTATTCCAACTTGGTCAATACACAATCTGCTGGAAGTCTGTTGGGATAGTACCGACAAATAACGGTCACGGTACCGAAGGTGCAAACCCATGCCTAGCACTGCAACATGCACATCTACTGCTCGCCACCAAGATTCGGGTGCGGGAGCGCCCAGGTAAAAACTATACATGGAAGCGATCGGGGTAGCGACACCATAAGCCCCTGGAATATAAGTGCTAGCCGCAAGGGGTTGAGTACCACTCAGCGTATATGCAACAGCATCGAGTGTACAGGTGTATCTCGGGTGTCACTAAAGGAAAACAGTACGGTTGCCCCTGGATCAGCTATTCAGGGGCGCTCAACTAGGGTACTAAGCTGCGATTATAGGAGCAGTGATGCGACTGGCAAGCGGAGGATATACGAGAGCCGCAGGAGCAGTAATGGCCGCTCATGAACCGTGGATTCATGAGCGCTGGATTGGTAATGTGATTACTATAGATAGTCAATCACGAGATGGAACTAAGACTATGACATGGGTCATACAGATGTATATAAGATAGCATATATTCATACTTCTGACAGTATCGAAATCTGTCGAACACATCCTCTACATACTCCAATCAGACATAACAAGTGACAAGTAACTATGTTCCCATATGACTCATAACCTTAACAAAGTCTCGTAAACAAAGTACCGTTGCTCACTCCACTTGTGAAGCTGAGTATATGGCACTGTTGGTTGCAACAAAACAATTCCTTTGGATTGTAAGAGGACTTAACCAAATATTGGATAAAAATATACCAACTTCCTTATCAACCAATAACATTTCAGCTATTGATCTAGCACATAATCCTAAGCTCAATGATGCAACAAAACACATTTACATCGCTTATCATTTCACCAGAGAACGAGTTGAAGATGAAACTCTAATCCTTCTACATCTTCTGTCAGCCGAGAACCTTGCGGACATCTGTACAAAAGGCCTACCTAAACCAAGACTTATGCACCAGTATCTTCGGTACAAAGTGAGAAAGGGTGTTGAAATTGGCGCTACTTGGCAATGAAGAGTCACATTAACATGGAATGTAATTAGGTTCGAATATTACTAGAATGTTCATGACAACTCATACATTGACTAGCCTCCCAATTATCTAGCATAAGCTAGTGAATTGTGTCCTTTACTTAGCTGTAGTAATTAGTTTAAATTGCGCTCTGATACTAAGTGGGTTTAGTCAACAACTTTCCACTATAGTTTTCAGACTCTTCAATCTCCCAACTCGCTTCACTAGGTGATTTTAAATACAAGCCTAACAGCTTATGCTACTCTACCAAACTTCTATTCCAACAGTCTGATCCTAGCTTCGGCTGGTATCCCTCTAGACAAGCTCTAGTTACTTCAATGGAATTCTAAGCTATTCTAGCAATTAGTCTCTAGATGTTTTGGGATGGTATTTTGTACTCTTACTAGTTCAGTGGGCTTCAATCAGATTCTAGGTCATCTCAGGAGCTCGACAGGAATCGGGCTAGAACTTGATTACTGTAGTCTGTAGCAGATATTGTCGAAGTATAAGTAGCTGAGGTATCTTCATGTCGAAAGCTCTCCAGCTTTCAGTCTTGTTGTTACGGCAAACGTCCGAGTAGACTAACGCCGTCTCCGAAGGGGAGTCGGAGAGAGGTATGGATGGGACACGGAGGCGAGACGAGGAGGAGACGAGAGAAACAAGTGTATAGCTAACAAATTGAATTCTGAAAACTAGAATAATGTGCGAATAATACTAATTGCGAAGCTGGGGAATTATTACAACGCGTACCCAGCTTCTCAAATACCCAGATAATTATTAACTATTTCCTAACCCTAGCCTATAATGGTATCGCGTTTGCCGATCACCGCTGCAAGCCTTAGTAAGCCTGTTAAGCCATAACACTTGTATTATTCCCTAGACATCCAAGAATCAAGAACCAAGTCTTTATTGTTATTATATTTTCTTTACCATCAAGAACCCAAGATTTAGCGCCTCCAGTTCAAGTTAAGTAACCAAGTCCCAAGAGATCCTGACAAGTATATTGTTACCCACCTCTTAAGATATATTAACTCTTTCAAAGCGTAAATTCTAAAAATGACAGAACAAGATGGGAAGGCTTTAGAAGCCAAATGAGATGAAGGAATCGATCTCAGCACCGCAACTCCTCATACTATCAGTTCCTACATAGAAACAAAGATTCAATTCTACGAAGAAGACAATACTTGTTGGAAATTCTGACTCTCGAATTTAGGACTCAATCATTACCTGTTTCGTCTCAGGTTCCCGACAAGATCGACTCTCTCTACAAATGTCCTGAGTACGCTAATCGCGCCTACTATTGCATATACGTTTGGATATTTACGTACTACAGTGTACCTTGGCTCATCATGGTAGATGAGAGGTGGCTAGTCATCACTAGGTTTGACAGGCACACGAGGCTAGCGGGAATTTCTCCCTTAGATGTATATATAAGTCCAATGTTCCCATAGCTGTAAAATATTAAGTCTTCTTTACTTCATCATATTTATCAATATAATGTCGTACAGAGTATGTTTTCCAACAATACTACTAACTCAAATCTATGGGAACAGTACCAAGAAGACTTCGCAACCTTCATAATAGCTGCTTTCAAAAGCCCGATACTCAAACTAATTCAAAGACTACGAGACTGCCTCTTAAGTAGAGGAGTTTTCGTATATTGCAACACGAATAGGCTCACTATTTCACAGGCACTTTACAATTGCGCAAAGGAAGAAGAACAGCATAAATGGTCTGACAGCAATGTTGTCAATGCCGCTGAACGATTAGAAGAGCCTCTAAAATCAGTAAAGCTAAAACGACGTTTAGATGCAATTCAAGTAGATAATTAGAACGTGGAGAAATACAGTGACAATGGCAGCAAGTTCAAGACTGAAAAACCTTCCGACCTGCAAGTACCCCTACAACCAATTTTGCGCAATTCAAAAGTACTATCTTCATAAAGCCCGCAAAGAGTACAGGCTCTCGGACCGATGTCGCCAATACTTCCTACGTATGTTGCGCAGATGTCGAACTTGATTAGGTTTATTCTGGCAAGGCAAAATACGAAGGAACTGGGGATAGTATAGATCACAGACTGACAAATTTTCATCACCTCTGTGATCTCACTAGTGTACCTAGAGAGGCATATCCAAGAGCACTCTCAGTAATGCTGACAGGATTCGCAAAAGAGCACTACCTTGCAGCAAATCTGTTGTACTTAACTTTTGAGCAAGCAGTTGACCATCTTTGTAACTTCTTTGAAGGTCCTGGTTACAACCGAAAAAATTCTAGGCAATTGGAACAGAACATCTTTAAAGTTGATAATGTTGCAAAATAAAGCTAAGTCAACATCCAAATGTCTGTGTTGGAATACTCGAGTGGTATTTATATCACAAGCTTTCTGTAGCAGTAATAACAACTAGTGGTTAACATATATCTTCTATTCTTTACTTCTAACTAAAGGAAACACGTATTTACGGCAGTTGTCCCTCTCTCCTGACGCCATTCCTAAACAGGTAACTCATTACTCATCAACATAATTAGTCATCATTTCTAAGATAATACATGAAAGGTCATTAAGTCATTTGGTCATTCAACAGTCAGCAAATCTTGGTCCAAACACTGAGAGAGATCCAGCATGGCCTAACAGAAGATCTCCATACCAGCTACTTTATGCGCGACAAAATTATTACTGCGCGTAAGGGCGTTCCATCTTGCAGATATGCCATTGCAAACCCGCCACCAAAAGTTGGTGGACTCTTGAATCAACTACAGAACTCTATAATGGCCTATGAAGGCGAAGAGAATAATGATCAATTCAATGTCAACCAAGATGCATTCTTCACGGACAGACAATATCATCAAACAGGTCAAGCACAAACCAGTAAAAATAATAAGCAAAGTAAGGCATTTTATGTATGTGGCAAAGAAGAATGTTGTTCATGGAAGCATACCAATGATGAGCGCGAAAGATCTAGGGCAAAGTTTCGAACTTCACTTAAAGAAAAGTTACGGTCTCGATTTTTTGACAGCAATTGCTTCAAAAAACAATATCATCAATATATAGTTGACTGTGAAGATGATGATGAATTATACATAGATAGCGACGAGTTTGAAGACGCCTTTGAAGCTTCGGAGTTTGAAATACAAGGTGATAACAACAATGCTCGAGAAATAGACGCAACAGACGTCTTCTTGACTTCATTTGGCGACTTCAGTTGCACTGCTACTAGATCTACAATGTCAGAAATGGCAGCAGATTTATCAAACAGATACTCTATTCACGCTCTCACTACCACTAAAAATATTGTGCTTAGCTCCTCTAAAGCTGATCCCTTTGCCTATACAACATCTCCTCTTTGTTAAACCTCCAAAACATTTGTTGTAATTTATGCAACAGTGGAGTTAAGAGTATACTGCATACCAGCTATATATTCAACTGCGTGTGGATACTTGCTCTCGAAATTAGATTCCTTATAATATAAATATTTATATAATTTATTGTATGTATTATTACTACAACTATTGATGTTTCTATTCTTATTCTTACAATTATCTACACACTTCACGAATACAGAAAGTGTGGAATACTAAGCGAGACACGTGATACAATTACAGATTTATTGCATGATTTCCAACAACATTTATGGGTATCATGATTGACGCAGGACCTTCTGAGAGATCGACCGCGGGTTATGGTCAATATAATGCACTTCAAAAGCTCAATAATAATGGTTTAAATTTAAACAAAATTGATAAAGGACTAGTGAATGTTCAGTTTGGAGTCGGGTCTTTATCATCAATTGGATCAATAAAAGTAGATTCGCCAATTGGAAGAATTGAATTACATGTTATCAGTGCTGATACTTCTTGTCTACTGTGTCTTGCAGATATGGATAAGCTAAAAACTTACTTCAATAATCTGACAAACACTTTAGTGACACCTCATGGAATTGTGCCGGTCGTACGAAGATTTGGTCATCCATGCATGCTCTGGGATAATTCACTCTCGATTTATATATCTGAATCTTTCAACAAATGCCCTTGCTATCTTACCGAAATTGAGCTCCAACGGCTTCACCGTAGATTTGGCCACCCTTCTATTGATAGGCTTCATTGTATATTAGAGCGCTCAGGACATGGCGATGACAATCACCGCTAAGCCCTAGAAGCAATCACACGGTTTTGCAAACACTGCCAAAAGTACAGTAAATCGCCCAGACAATTCAAGTTTACATTAAAAGAAGATGTTCAGTTTAATTACTGCATATTTGCTGATATAATGTATATTGACAGAAATCCGCTCCTACATATTGTTGATGAAGGCACAAGATTCCAAGCTGGCAGGTGATTAAAGAACATGTCTACCAAGAGTACTTGGGATGCGCTATGTGATTGCTGGATTAATAACTACTTGGGACCACGAGATATAATCTCACATGACACTGGTAAAACTTTTTGCCAGTAGGGAATTCCAGCAGTGTGCCATTAATGTTGGCTCTACTACAAAGAGTGTACTGGTAGAGGCTCATAACTCCATGGGCGTAGTCGAAAGATATCATGGCCCCCTTCGGCGTATCTACTAAATAATCACAGCAGAAATTCCTAGCATTAACAAAACTTTAGCCTTGCAAATAACTTTCAAAGCTATAAACAATTCCGTGGGACCTGATGGGCTGGTTCCTACTCTCTTGGTATTTGGTGCATATCCACGCATGATTAAAGAAGATGCTCCCTCGCCCACAGTGACAAAAAAACGGAAGCCCTTCACAAAGCCATGAAGGTACTAGAGCAAACCTGTGCCACACAACAAGTCAATGATGCACTAAATATGAGAAACGGTCCTTCCACTACGGCAATAGATGCCTTGCCGCTCAACTCGCCGGTGATGGTATGGCAAGAAGGTAATGCAAATCAAGCGGGAAGCTGGACTGGCTCCTACAAACTTTTAGACGTCAACAGTGAGACCTGCACTATTGAGCTACCTAGTGGACCTACTAAGTTTCGGAGCACAAGTGTCAAACCGTACTTCACTGAAACAACAAGGCTGGTTCCGGACAACAGTGATTTCAGAATTCCTTCAATGGAACAAATAGAATCCTCTTCAGAAAATGACCCCCTTGCAGATGATTGACTATAGTCTGGAAGACCCAAACATCAAGTTTACAGACCTCGCCGGTATGCCATTGAAGTAAACACAGCAATTGTATCAGTATAATTTCATGAGAGTGGTCAGTTTAAACAGTCCCACCAGAAAGAAATTTCTGGGGTATTAAAGAAAAACGTCTTTGAGTTGATTGAAAACATCAACATACCTGCTGGCACTAGGGTTTTCAATTCAAGATTTATTGATGAAGTAAAGCACAGGGGTACCAATAATGCCTTCGATAAATTAAGACCTGTTGTCCAGGCATATAATGACACTGTAAAAGAATCTATCCCAACTTAATCTCCGACAATTCAAAGGGTCAGCCAAAGGCTTATTTTCTGCATGACGTCTTCAATTGCGGAAACAAATCGCTATTTACGTGATATATTGCAAGCATACGCACAATCCACCTCCAATTTGAATTGCAATATATATATAAACGCCCTCCGCACGAGATGAGTGCCGATCTAGGTCTAGAAAGAGGCACGTTGTTAAAAGTTGTTAAGCCTCTATACAGAATACCAGAAGCAGGAAATCACTGGTTCCGTACATATCACAATCACCACACTCAAGAGCTTTGCATGAATGTATCAACTTTCGACCAGTGCCTCCTCTGGTGCCATAATCCAGAACAGCTAGGTATTTTCGGTCTTCAAACTGAAGATTCTCTCTTTCTGGCCAATGACTCATTTGCTACTGCAGAGCAACACAAGCTTAAAAAGGCGAATTTCCCAGCAAAAGAACGAGAAACTCTTGCACAAAACCATCCCCTGAGATTTAACAGTTGTATGATTAATAAGCTGATCGACAGGAAAACTGTAAGATTAACTCAAGAACATCAATGCAAAAATCTCAGTTTAGTAGCTGAGGTAAATACATCATCTACAGGTTCATGTGGTGCTGTCTGTAGAGGTCTTGCTACCAAAGAATAATATATTGCGCAACAGGCCAGAGGAGCTAAAATTGCTTCTATGTGTCAACCTGAAGCCTCTTTCGATCTCTCCTTTGCTGCCCAAGCAACTAATCCCCAACAGAACAACATAGCTGCCCTCAATAAACGCCTAAAGTGGCAGAAAACTAACAGACAAAGAGGACTCAATTTTGTGAAACTAGATATGAAAACACTAAGCCTGTCAGGCTCGTTGGCTAGTTCGGAGGTCAAGGGTCGGAACAGGACGGAGTCGGGACGGATGTAGTCGGGACGGAATGTGATCGGAACAGGATGTGATCGGAACGGGACGAGGGCGAGACAAGACGGAGACGGAACGTGACGGAGGCGGAACGGGACAGAGGCGGAACGGGACAGAGGCGGAACGGGATGGAGACGGAACGGGACAGAGTCGGGGTATAAGGTAAAGATTATAATAATCGGATCAATCTAAAGTCTAGAATAATTACAAGACAAAAAGCTACAGAACAAATCCAGTCCTAGACCTTCCTTAAGTACTCAAGAGCGGCTACTACAATCAGGGGTATGGTAGTCTACAGCTATAACACAGCAACTGATTGCTTATGTTGATTAGTAACTGTTGCTATCATAACATTGTAACCATCGCAACGCATTGACTATGTTACTAGGGAAGTTCCTGACTTGGTTGACCAGACTAAGCGCAGCATCTCAGCATTAGCCTATGGCACAATGGTAGTGACAAGCAGGCCGTTTTCCTCGTGGGGAAAGCCGGTCTGTGACAACGCCTCTACGTATTTACGGATGCATCCTTTGCAAATAATAAGGACTTCTCATCACAAATTGGCTATGTACTTGTCACGATCCGCGAGAGCCGTATTGCGTGCGTGTGGGGATACGGGTTAGTGCGCCTTGGCATCACGTTGGATGACTGAGCACAGCCGAGGGAGATATCTTAGAGAGGGTCGAGAGTAGCTACCTCCTCTCTTCGTCTTTTATTGCCTTTACAAGCGTACCTCTTGATAGCAATATAATAACTTATACAACCTCCTTGACGTGCCGTAACAGTACTCGTACTGGCAGACGCTACAAATCAAGCTAATATAACCCATTGGTCATTGGTCAAATGCAAGAGAGTTACAGGAAGTGCTCTCGCATCAGAGTTATATGTCATGGTTCATGGTTTCGATATTGGCGCCGCAGTAAAGCCAACTATTGAACAGCTATCACGGACTATTATTCCTTTCATTATATGCACCGGTTCCAAATCTCTTTACAATTGCCTTGTTGTCAAACTCGAGGGTACCAGGGGTTGTGTTTGATGGATAACTTGGAAGTGCGAGTGATATCTGACAAGATTTTTCATAGACTAAGGTACTAATTCGGGATTCTAGCTATAACTGAGGACAAGGGACAAGAGAAACTAGGACAAGAGACAAGGTCAATGGAAGACGGAAAACAAGACATGGCCCTCTACATTGGCTCTACCCAACCCATATATACATCATAGTAACCAGAGCAACTAAGGCTTCAAGGGGTGTGCCTGCTGCTATTCTATTACTTCATTTGTAACCCATAGCAACCATTGTAGCCTGGTAAACGCTCTAAGATGAGAGAATATTCAGATGTAGTGTAGGGAAAGAATATGAGGGTGCTGCTCTATCCTCAGTTCCTGACACTTGTCAAAGTCAATACAACACAAGAAAAGAGATTGACGGTCGACCTCATGTGTCTGTATCAATCATATGAAAGACGCGAAATTACCGAGGTTGTATCAATTGACAGCAATAGCAATCCAGTAGACTCAATGACAAAAAGTAAACCTTCAACAGCTTGTCAGGTCTCGCGGACGGTGGACTAAGTTTAGGACAGAGAGTAGGACTAGGACTAAGACAAAGACGAAGATGAGGTCAAGAGAGTAGTTAAATTACAAGATAAGAAGCTACAGTCTAAACACAGCCCAAGAGCTTTCTTAAGTATCTAAAACTGGTCAATACAATCAAGGGTGCAAAGCTCACAGCTGTAACATAGCAACTGATCAGTAACTTGACTAGTGACTGTTGCTATTGCAACACTGTAACCATTGCAACACACTAACCCTATTCCTAAGTGTGCTCATGGGGCAGTTGGCCAGGTGCAACACAATGTTGTAGAGCTGGCTTGTGACACAGCTCTCCAACTTTAAATTGATACAAATAGACTTAATCTAAATACCATGGAATGGGTACAACAACCAGTAACAAGTAACAAATAGCAATAATTAAGATATGAAAATATGAAAATATATGATGGGAATTACAGTTTTAAGTA